GGGCATGATTGAAAGCTGTACCTTTTGCTTTCACATTTAAGACAGGCAGAAGTAGCAACCTTGTGGCTCTCTTTTGCTTTCACATTTAAGACAGGCAGAAGAACCTTGTGGCTCTTCTCTCTGCCATTAGCAGGGTAGCAGAAGCTCTGTCCTACCTTGACCATTAAAAAAGGGATGAAACAGGGATGGTTTATTGATGAGACTGAGCGGACAGAAGCTGCTGAGAAACTGGCAAAGACATCTGAGGACCTGGAAAAAGGGTAGGAAGCTTTAACCCAGCAAAAGCACAGGGGAGGCCTTATAGTGGCCTCCCAGTATCTAAAGGGGTTCCAGGAAAGCTCGGGTTGAGGGGACGGACACACACACTCTTGATCAGGGAGGGGAGCTATAGGACAAGGGAGAATGGTTTAAACTGAAAGAGGGAAGATTGAGATGAGATCTCGGGAAGAACTTCTTTGCTGTGCGGTAGTGAGAGCCTGGCCCAGGTTGCCCAGAGAAGCTGTGGCTGCCCCATCCCTGGAGGGGTTCAAGGGCAGGTTGGAGGGGGCTTGGAGCAACCTGGGCTGGTGGGAAGTATCTCTGCCCAGGGACCTTTAAGGTCCCTTCCACCTCAAACCATTCCATGATTCTAATTTGCCAAATTTGTGTATCCGTAATGAAATGAAACAAAAGCACCGACGGGTTTTATTTTTTTCCTGCCATATATCAGCTTTTCAAAACCATTGATGGTATTTTATGAGGCTCGGCATTCCTGGGACAGTTGGGATGTATCACATCCATTGCACAGAGGGGAGTTTAGACACAGTGTAAATGCATTGACTTGCCTCAGGTCAGAAAATCATGACCCCGTTAGGAAAATAAAATTCTCATCCAATATGTCAGAAAATGTAACTCCTTCCTCGCCCCACCTGGTAGGTTGACCACAAGGGAATGTGTCCTATCACAGGGAAAGGATCTATAGCCACTTGACTAAAACAGACTGATTTAGGATTACATAGTCCTACATAACCTTAACAGGATTTACTTTATAAAGCCAAGCAAAAATGCACATTTCCTGCACACTTTTCCTACCATTGATTAAAAATAACTCCACTTCTTTTATCTGGCAGTAAATGTAATGATCACAAAAGGCATTCTGAGGCGCTAGGTTATTACTTCATGTCCATTTGTAAGTTTAGAAAGGTATTCTTTAGAGCAAGGTCAATTCTTTAGAAGCTCCCAGGCTCTACTGCGATATAAATTAATCCAGCACATTGTAAGCCAGAGGAAGAACAGACCTATAGAAGAAGCAGGGGGGCGACTGTTTTGGGTTTTTTCTTTCTAATTAGTTTTTCTCCAGAGTTTCCCTGAGACCTAGGAGGAAATTTTCAAGGGTTTCACCAGAGACAGTTACAGCCAGGGCTTTCTAGGTTCCTAGTGTATCAGCTGGTTTGGAAATTTGCCTTTGCTTCTCCGTGTCTCTTCTCTCCCTTTATAAATCACGGAAAATAATAATTCAGCACTCTCTTTCCCAAAGAGGATTTACATTCTTGGGTTGACAGGGAATTGTTCTCTTAGTGTCTGTTTATAAGGAATATAGCAAAATGGGCTGGATTTCATCTGGGACATGATATTTTACTGTAAGCAAATGGAATATGCATGGTAAGGATCTGAGGCCCAAAATGAACTTTTCAATCTCCTTTTAAAATTTTTTTAAGAACTTAACTGTAACTTTTTATAGTAGAAATACATGTTTGATACATTTATTGTCCTTGTACCTCACTCCCACTAAAACCCACTGAGATCAGCACTATTGGTAGGAATCTCTACCTGATCCTGAAATGTTTGTTGAAAGAGAGAAGTCACATTTGTATAAATACTTTTGGGGGAAAAAAAAAAAGCCAAAAAAGGAAACAGACTTGCATTTCACATGTCACAAAGTGCACATTCCCCCCAATAATTTATTTGTTCACCTAGCAGTATTTCATACACATTCAGTTTTGTTCAAGGAAATGACCAGCATGACTGTTCGGACACGTCGCATGGTAAACAACGGGCCTTAAAAACAGCACGTAGAAAATTCAATGACATCGGACATCCCATGTTCAGAAAACGCGGTGCCCGTTTCAAGACACATCTTTAAAAACCACTGGCAGCCACACTTGTACAACATGCAGGCAAAATGCTGCAGCAGAGAGAAGAAAAATGAAACAGTTTTGCAACCGAAGATTGGCAAAGCAAAAAAATTAAAAAAAGCCCAAGCCAGCTCGCATACAATTCCCACAGTCGTAAAGTCGTTGGTAAGTAGAATTGAGTGCTCAGCGACATTCAGCAAAGGTTTTGTATCACAAAACAATGATGCTGTGATCATTAGCTGAGTGGAATTGCTTTTTAAGTGGAAACCGGCTGAAACGCTGGCTAGACTTGTGTTTTCTGTCTTCAGAAAATGGTTTACAAGGACCGGGTTTTTGCAGGTCGCAGAAGAAACTCAGATCAATGCGAGAAGGTCTTGTCATTCAGTCCGAGACAATGAGTACTGGAAAGTCATTTTTGCTTTTCAGTATTGGACATTTATGACTCTGAAAAAGATCTTAATGTTATCGTGATAGTAAAGGAGAGGATATTTCTCAGCCTGGGTTTGGGCTCGGTGTAACAAAGAGTAATCTGCATTAACTAGACCTTTGAATGTGTCATGGAAGTAAAAGATGCATTATTTCTTATGTGATGGTTGCTTGCAATACACAGCTCTCCTCTTTAGCAATTCATTTCCCCTTAGCTCATGCTTGCTATTTTTCTCTTTCTCTGTCAGTATGAGAAATATGCAGCATGCTCTGCGTAGAAGGCATGACATTTTACTTGAATCCCTAATTCAAATGCTTAATCTCCTTCTGGGAAATAAGTGATTCAATTACATTTATCAAGCTGGGTGGGAGATCTTTATTTTAATGCACCACAAACTATCTCCGTAGCACCTTGGATTTTCATAATACTGTCATGTATTAAACAATCTGCTTGGGAATACCTTCAAAAAGGAGTTGATTATGCTTATGGATTAGCTCCTTTTTACAGATGGAGTAGGTTTAGGTTACTTATGTGCATTGATAGAAAAAGACAGGATTAGTCTGGCCAGACAGTGTAACTTCTCCCTGTGAGTCTGACTATAATTAGGCAAGAAACAGAATAAAGATTGGGCAGATTCATTCATAGAAAGTGCTGGTTGATTTTTTGGGCTTCTTGGGAAAAAACTTAGGTTTAGGTTACTTATGTGCATTGATAGAAAAAGACAGGATTAGTCTGGCCAGACAGTGTAACTTCTCCCTGTGAGTCTGACTATAATTAGGCAAGAAACAGAATAAAGATCGGGCAGATTCATTCATAGAAAATGCTGGTTGATTTTTTTGGGCTTCTTGGGAAAAAAACTTAAAGGCTGATGTGCTGGTGAGACTAAAAGGCTCTGTGCAGAAGGGTGACTGGGAGCAGGGATGAGGAATGCAGAAGCAGGTAGAGAGTGGGTAGATGAAGATGCCTCATTAAAACTTTTTCCTTCTGGCAAATGATGACCCTGCATGGTGCAGGTCCCAAACATGCCTTGAGCTTAGGGCAACATTGTGAAGACCCACTGGGTTTTCTTCTTGGCTCTGTTGTTGGAAGCAATCATCCCAAAATAATTGGTGTCAGCAGCCTGTCCTATTGAGTTGGTTTTCAGTATTGTCTTGCTTATCCAAACAGTATTAAGACAGGAAAGAGGATGGAGGTGTCTCCGAGTAGGATACGGAGTTAATTACCAAGCATGGATTCAACATGGGATAGCTGAAATCCTCCTTGAGTGAAGCACTCTGTGCCTCAGTAGCTTTATGTTAACATGGAGCTCCTAATAAAACCCCATCCAAACATGAGCTCTAGTTAACATGAGGCCAACAGGCACACCTACAACTAAGCACTTCCCACTTCAGTAAAGCAATAAGATCTTTTTTAGATCAGCTTCAATCAGTAGATGATACTCCAGTCTGTAGCTGTTACCTTTCAGAAAACTGAAGAAGGGAAATTTTACAACTAAGACCGAAGCAGCTTTGTGAAATCCATTTGCTGACTCTGATGAGTAGAAAAGCAAGAAATATTCCTACCTTAATCTTTCCTCTATTCAATGCCATGGATTTTTCAAGACATTAAAGCCTGGCAAAGGAAAAGATTCTTTTACGCAATACGTAATTTATCCTTGGATTTGTCAGAGAAATATTAAAAAATAAAATAATGAGGAGACATTTATTTGGATAATGGGCAGATCTTAAGTATTTGGGATTTGAATAATCTTACAGGGTACGTGAAGCCTTAAAAACATAAGACAGTAAATCTGAATGAACATTAACTGTGCAAACTGAAATACTGAACTTTCCCTGCCCTGGGAGGAAGAGAGATTGGTGATCTGCTTAGCCTCAACCTGTGTAAATTAAAAGTCATCTATATGATAGTGCCAGCTCTCAGCTCGTTGCAGCAGAGACTATCTGCTCCACTTCGGATGGAAATCCTGGCTGTTGCTATCAACAGAAAATACTGACCACAGAGAATGGTGGGATGTTACGTGGTCCCTCAAAGTTTTCACTCGGGACACCTCAATTGGCAGGTCAGTGTGGTCCACTGGATGGGGCTGTGAGGGGAAAATCACAGCACCCCACTGTGTTCTTACTTCCCACTTGACCACCTTCTGCTCTCTGTTCTGTGCTCCTACAGTATTTCACACCACAGAGTCCCCATGGTGGAAGGATTTCACACGTGATGATAGATGGTAAGCCACTGGGAAACCTCTTGTACTGCTAGTGCCTTTTGGATAGACAGATACATTCAGCCTCTGTGGCTGCAGCTCTTTTGCCAGTGCCAAGTTTGCTTTAAATAACATAAAAATATGGGCTGCTTAAACATGCATACATTCAGCCTCTGTGGCTGCAGCTCTTTGGCCAGTGCCAAGTTTGCTTTAAATAACAGAAAAATATGGGCTGCTTAAATATGAACTTTTTTTTTTTTTCCCCTAGAGCTCCTTCTATGGTTTTGAGACTTGTCGGTCCAAATGTCTATCAAGATGACAAGTGCCTATGACCCTGCTTGCAACAAGGGAACGGGGCAGTTTTCATGCAGAAATTCTCAGAGTGAGCCAAACAAATTATGTGATTGTTTTTGCTGGCAGATGTGACAGCAGCAGAGGTGTGGCTGGGACCAGGCTCGCCTGTCGCTGAGGTCTGGGTGCTTTTCAGAGTCACTGGACAGAGAGGTCCTTTAGCATCTGTTTGATGATAGGAAAAAAAGGATGAAGATGAGACCAAGACTTGGTTGTTCTAAGCTCTCTCACTCTCTCACAGGCAGGAGTGCTGTGACACAAAGGTGACTATTCGTGCCTGTTCGTGCCACCAGCACACTGACTTATTTATCTTCTCTTCACAGATTCAGATTATATTCCTACTTCAGAATTGCTCTGGAATGAAATGACTAATCCATTTGTCAGCCCATGTGTAGCTCCACAACAACCCTTTGCCTGACACCATGAAGCCTCCACAAATCTAAAATTACTAGAGAGACCCTTTGTAAATCTCCCAGCTCCAAAGAGGAGGTGGCACAAATGACCTTACTGATTCAAGTTATAAAATAAATATATGGGTGGGGTTGGGCAGCGAGTGTGTGCAGTGAAGATTTTAAATCTTGCTAGTAGTGTTCATTTTAATGGGTGTTTTTCAAAATGTTTCAGAGTTCGGGTTTTGTTCAAATAAACGTCCCACGTATTTGAACCCCGTGAGACTGAGAACCTTGGCCATGAGTCTCACGTGACTTTCTTATGAGATTTCCAGCTTTTCTGCTTCTGGTCTTGGCTTGAAGTACCATGAGAATATTTTTTTTCATGGTATTTCAACACTTCTAGTTTCAAATTCTAGACTTTATTGAAAAGCCCTAAGAAAAGCTTTAAGGGTGGGGTGGGTTTCTTATTTTAAAAAAAAATGGGATAATGCTACAGATTGCTTTTGGAAATAAATAAAAGGTTTGGGTCCAGGGATTTGATTTGAATTCTCTAATTTTAACCTGTTTGGGACATTCTGTATCCTCCTTATGCAGCACTCATGTGGGAGAACAAATAGCTATTTGCTTCAGCTAATCAGCTAGGCTAGATATTTCATTTTCCAAGAGGTAGCCAGTGACACTCACCCACCAAACACACCAAAACCTTAATGGTCTGAAGAACACTGTGCTTCCAAATTCAAGTGTCTTCTCCATGTCTTCAGGACTACTGCAGGCTGAGCTGAGAACTATTAGCTTTGTTTTCCTAATCACTGCTTACTCATTTATTTAAAGGCTGGGAGAAGCAAGTCCTCTGCTTGATGTGACATGTTAGCAGCTGAAAACACCTATAGGACATATGTATCTGAGGCAGCAAGTGCTGCAAGGAAAATTTACTATAACATATAGGACTTGGAGTGTTCTTGGTTATTACACCAGAAAAAAGGGTGCCAGCTTTACCAGGTTTTTTACAACTTGCTTGTTCTTTGACACAGCTCCATCAGGCTGGTGGTGTCTGAGTAAATACTAGTGAATCTGCCCAAAGACATGATTCTTACTTTTACAGATTTTACTTTTGATCCTGCAAGATTAGCGAGATCTGTAAATGAGCACTTGGTAATAAGTTTCCTAGGTGTAAAGATATTATGCAATAAATTTAATGCATTGAGAAGAGGGCCAAATTAGGGGGAAAATTGTTCTGTCTCTGTGAACTGTCTGCACAAAATACAGGGCTAGGTCTATCCACTTTCTTTTTTCCCTTTGAGCTCAACTTTTATTTGGAGTGGCAGTGCTTGATTAGCATCCTGGCTGTGTATAGAGCTGAACTGTATGTACGCTCCGAGGTTGTTTTCTGCTTCCAGGACTGTGCAAAACAAGAACTCCAAGGATGAGATTTTACTTTTGCAAATTGTCCAATGATGTTCTAGCTCCAAACACATGTTTGCAGGAGGAAAGAAATCTCATTCAAGCATAAATAAAAGGCACAGCAGACTGAAATTCTCTTGACGCTGGGGACCTCATACTGAATGAGAGATGAATAAACAATGATTCCTCATCAATAATATCAAGGTGTCCTTTCAAGGCCGTATCCTGTAAAAGCTAACCTTTTCTTAAGCCCTTTCCCTTTTCAAGACAGTAGATATTCAGCACAGGAGCTGACATTGAGACATGAGTAAAGGCTTATGTGTTGTTTCAAGAAGCTGCATTCTTACTTGGCAGGCTCAGGAGGAGTTATGTCAAGAGCTGCTTATTTCTAATATTGTACAGAGAATTCCTCCCACTATTTCTTCCAGATGCTGAACAGCTCATTTATTTATTTATTTGGATTAGCTATATTAAAATATAACATGCTTCCAAATGCTTTCCTCCCAAATTCCCAAAGGATGGCCCTTTCTCATGGGGATGTATGTCCTTAAGTCATTTAACGTGCTTAACTCCCACTGCTCAGAACCAGGGCAAAGTTCCTGGCTTCAGGGTACCCAGGATCTCATAGAAAGCTTAAAGCACTTAGTATTGAAGGAGTCAGAAAAGGAATGTGGCATAAGACTGCAAGGAGACAGGAAAATATCTGCAGCTTTTCCAGCAACTGTGGCACTGATCTGACTAGCAAGCACCTGAGCAAGGAATGATTGAGTCTTTAAGCAGGTCCTTGCTGGACTCAGAGCAAGGAAAACAAATGGATGAGTGAAAGCCATGTCTTCGACCTTATTTGAGGATGACTTACCTAGTCTTGAATTTTATTAGACCTGCATCAAAGCGCAGAGACCTTCCAAGCAAGCCTAGGATGCATGCAAATTTTCATTTGGTTTTGTTTGGAGATGTGGGAGGTTGGTTGTACAAAAAAGAAAAGTTCTGGTTGGTCTCTGGAGCTAGGTGGGAGTGCAGCCACTTGCCTTGGGTTTCCCTTGGCAATGGAGTTTACTGAAATCCATGGCACAAGGGGAAACTTAGAGCGACTCCGAGCAGGGCAAGAGCCAAGGTCGTGTTTTTGCCATGCCCTACGAGCTGATGTGACTGTTTTTCCAAACAGGTTGAAGACAAGCAGCCTTGTGGCCATTGCAGAAGACCAAATCCCCACCCGGTGCAGCCCAGGAATGAGGAACCATTGAGGCTGCCCAGAAGATGCAGATCCAAAGAGCTGCCTGTTCTCTTCAAGGTGTGCAGGACCTCACCAAGCCAGGACCTGGGCACGTACAAAAGAGGCAAAACATGGTAGGAAAACATTCTTGTCCATAGTCCCGTAATGAAAAGTAAGCAGAGATCTGTAAACACTGTCCCAAGACCTGAGCCTCCCAGCCTCAGCTCTCCTGGCTGTTGAATTGAGGTTAAGCTTTTTGGGGGGAGCAGAATCACAAAATGGGTCTAAATGTGGTGCTGTCTGAAAGTACCCACACTGAAATCAGCATGGGATCTTTGTAGTTTTCTCTTTCTCCTCCATTGCACCTAAATCAGAACAGTAGGAACTTTGAAACAGGGGAATACAGTGAAAAATAAAGCCTTTAGGTGTCAGGCAAATGACTCGCAGAGGCCAGTCTCTCGGAAGACCATAAGGTGCTCACCATCCACTGAAACCATTCACTGTCTTTAAGGGGTTTCATTCAGGCTGCCAGCACTCAAAGACACCACGTCTCAAAGGCTTTCACCCTGTTTTACAGTATGCTATTTGTTTCTCCCAGATCCCTTCAGCTCTGGTGGCATCTACTTCTACTTCCCAATAAGAAGAGCAACGTCCCGTTAGCAGAGCCACCCGTTTGCCAGCCTGTGCTGCTTCCATCCCTTAGACATCCTCCCCGTTCTCAGTGAGGGAGATGGTGTGTATTTTAATGGTTGGCACTTTACAGTTTTCATGGACGAGGTTCCTTGACGTGCCCGTGCAGCAGCATTCCTGGAGGAAACCTTTGCTTTTCACCTTGGCAGAGGTACAGTCTTTAGAAACCCCACTTTTGGCCGGCATGCTTTGCACAGCGGAGAAGATCTTCCATTCGCAGACCCCATCCGACTTGGAAATCTTATAGAAGGTTTCTCCTGAGCCGACGGGGATACGGACCACACCTTTGCCACTCTCCAGTCTTTGGCCAGTGGGATGGTTGAGGTTGAAACTTGGGGACTGCTTCTTTCTCGCCTCCTTCCTTGGGAGGCACTGCGCTCTCAGGACGTTTTGGAACGCTTTCTTAAACTCCTGACTTGAGCACGGATAGATGATGGGGTTGATGCAGCTGTTTAAATATCCAAGCCAAAATGTTATTTTAAAAAGTGTGTCCGGGGGTTTGATTGCAGGAAAGAAAGAACCTAAAATGGAAAATACACAGAGTGTTAAGGCAGAGGCAGTGAGAAATTGCAGGTAACCAAAGAAACTTAAACATTGGAAAAAATAAATAAGATTCTGTCCTTTCTTGGAAAATCTATGACTCAAAGCACAATTCCTGCAGGAATAAGTCTTTCAGAGGGTATGGTGCTGTACAATTACACGCCTGTTCTATCAGAGATCAATTCAAGACATCTACTTGATTATACAAGCGTTGTATTCCCATTTACAGCCAGGGAGGCAAGCAAGAGGACTGGAATCAAGTGATAGAGGAAAATTGCTTCCTCTGGGACTTCTAATTCAAGATTAGTTAGCCAAATAACAGTCATATCTAGGAGGTCATCAGAAGGGGATTCAAATGGCAAGAAAATCACATCATTTCAGAAGTCAGAGTAAGTTAAAAGTAGGATTACTGAGTTGACTGCATTCCAGCTGTCTTAAAAATGATAAGTATTGAGGGCTCATTTTCCCTAGAAACCTTTAGAAAGGTTTTTCTGTCACGTTTTTCTGTCTCATAGAAGGCATTTAAAATTCAGAGAAGTTAAAGGAAAGGTTCCTTCTTGCATCAGCGAACACTGGAGAGGGTCTCACGGGGAGCCAGAATATATATACACTGATATATACTTGCAAAGTTTCCTCCCAGCCACGGTTCAAAGAGCAAGAACTTAGGTGGCTCCTTAGTAAGGAAAGTATTATGGGACTTCTTATTCTATAGAAGTGAGGACAACATTCAAAAAATTTGGAATCTTTTGATGAAGCTTAGTCAGCATATTAGTGACAGAGCCATAAATTGTGCATTCGTCAGTCCTCACTGTCTTGGCATAACAAGAGTCAGCTACAAGTGGCCATGTGAAATGAAAATTAAACAGCGTTACTACTATCCTTAAAAAAATAGATTAAGAGATCTGATAACATAGGATTGAACAGTGAGTTATCTGCTGATTTAAAATCTTGGGGACATTTCTCCTTTGTTGGGTTTTATTGTTTGTTTAAGTACAACTTGAGCTCCTTACTGATTGTATAAGCAAGTTTTCAACTTTAAATGATTTGAATAGGAAGTCAGTAAACACTGAAGAGATTTGCTCATGGAGAGGTGTTATTATAAAGCTACAGAGGTATTTAAGATGTCAAAGAGTCAACGCTGCTGCTTACAGGGAATTGTTTAGAAATTTGTTGTTTGCCTTGAATGACACTGGAAAGTGTCCATTGTAACAAGAACCTGTAATTCTCTTATTTGGTACTTCTCTTTGCTTAGAGATAACAACAATATTGTCTGAATGTGAATGAACCAGAAAACTAAACTCTGTGTGATGCTGGGATAACAGCTCTTCTAAAATCAATTTTGCACAATTAATTTAGAACCAGAGAAACATATTTGCCATATGCTGTCAAAGGGAAAAGCTGATTCTTACTTGCCTTCTTTAAAAGAAAGAAAAGGAAAAAGGAAAAAAAAAAAAGTGGTTCTGTCATACAAGTGTCAGTAATTAGTCTGGGCACAGGAAGAAAAATAGTTTCCCAGAAAACATAATTGGCTTGTTTTGGACTTTATAGTCAAGTTTATAATAAACAGAACTTTTAGCACTGACAAATGCTTGTCTTCCTGCTGGCCCCTGGAAAAATCGTAAGCATGTGCTTGTTGAAAGAAATAAATACTGTGGAAGATTCAGGCATCGATACATTTGTCATCCTCTGCAGTTCAACTTCATCTCTAGGCAGCTCCTCAGCTTTACGGGGATCGATCTGCTCGTTGGACCTCCCCTGACTAAGGAAAAGCTAATAATGCAATTAGAGGGTGTCCTAATTTAATTCTGAGAGCTGCCGAACTTCAGTTTGAATCTTTTTCTCCCCATCTTTGTCAAACAAAGCTTACAGCAAGTGCAGCAAATGCTTTCAAGCCGCAGAAGCCCGAGAGGAATTCTCAGGGTGTTTTTTGCCTGTGTGAGAACGTATCAAAATATTGCCTGCACCAGAGACACAAATAGTGCAGGGTGATTAATGACTTGCTCGTTCTGCTCGACATGGTCCCCGCCGTGAAACGCGAAGCGAGGTCTTCTCCCCATGGCACCAGCTCCAACCTTCTCCGTGGAGCTGGTGGGCCCAGAGGACACGCCACCGTCGGGGAAGGGAGAGGAGAGGTCCCAGGGTGAGCAGCCCCCCAAGTTATCCCTGACTTGCCAGAGGTCCCTGAAGACCCAGGCCATCTGGTGTGCGGTGGAGCAGCAGGGAAGCGATACCCAAAGGCAGTGCAGAACATGCCACAAGATCTCACTCTTTGTACCGGAGCAGATCAACCTCTTTTTCCAGCCCCAGTTACATCCCAGGCACCAAGCACCAGCCTCGCTGCCTCCATGGTTGCTCTGTACCGGAGCAGATCAACCTCTTTTTCCAGCCCCAGTTACATCCCAGGCACCAAGCACCAGCCTTGCTGCCTCCATGGTTGCTCCCTCCTTGCTCCAAGCTGGCTGGTAGAGCAGTTTCACTATCAGTTTCAACACCGACCAGTTTTTTCAGACCACAAAAGCTGTGCTAAAGAAAGCAAACACTATTTTGCAGTTCAGCATGAGTGAGCAGGCATATCCGCAGCCTAGATTTTTTTTTCTCAGTAAATTGATGCTTCTTTTCTTCGGTGAAGAACAACTAAATAACATTCTCAAAGAACGTTCTGGCTAAAGTTGTTGGCAGATGAAAAATAAGGAAAGGCTTCTAAATGCTCAAATTGCGCTCAATTTTTTTCTTTATTTCCTCATTTAATTGCAGCATATCTTCTGCTTTCCCGTTCTGTGTTCAGACAAAAGGTGAAACAAATCTCGGTTTAGGAAATCAGCTGTGTGAGGCTGAGTGTAAAAATGGGTAAACAATAACAATTCCTGTTTGCTGCAACTTCTGGCTCACTCTAAATGGAATGCTAGTGCCTTGCCAAAGTCTGTTAAAAATAGAAAATAGCCCGTGTCAGAGTCTGTCTGTTGCTCTTTTTTTGGGGTGGGGATCTGCATGCTAATTTATTAATGTAACCTTTTTTGGTTCATCAGTGTAGAGACTTGTTGCCTTGGAACAACACACAGAGACAAGAAAGAGCAGCAGTTTTAAAAACATACAGGTTTTGCTATCTGTAGACCTCATCATGTACTGTTTTCAACACTTTCTTTCCAGTGGTGGATACAACCTGGGGGTTAGGACAGTGCCTTTGCTCTGCTGTTGTGCTGATCAGGGATGGTTCATGAGTTTAGACCAGCTAAAGTTCTGCCTACGGGCTTCGTTGGAACCCTGTGTTGTCCTGTGAATGGAACAGGCCATGCACCAATAGGAAGAAATGTTGTTAGTAGCATCTTGGAAGGGCTGGAATTTATAGTCAAAGGACCCAACATGTAACAGAGATAGATGTAAAATCAAAGTAGAAATTATTTGGACCCTCTTCTTACTTACGTTGGCAGCTTAGTCAACTTCCAGAGCTATATAAATCAAGATCAGCCTGTCTAAGCCTTGAGCCACTGAACTATTTAGTAGAGTGCAAAAAAATATTTAACCTTCTGCACCTTCTCTGTCTAATGAGCAAAATCCTTCTGTGTATTACAGGCTAGTGTGAGGAACTAGTGACATGCTAGCATTTGCTTAGTGCCTCTGTAGAAGTGTGATGTCCTATTCAAAAGGCCACAGAAAGCAGAGCCCTTCTGTTGCAGACACCTGGTTACCCCTGTAGTTCAGAAACTTGCCCTAATCTTTTCTCTTGGCTACCTGAGTATCTGGAAAAAGGGGACAAATATATTCTCCAAGCCCTTGGGGAACCACGTCCCTCCCCACAGAATACTAAGAATGCATTCTTTTCTTCCAAGCCTTTAATATTCAGTGATGTTGCTGCCGTGATTAGTATCAGTGGTTGATGGATTTGGTAGCAAGCGGGAGTCATTTTCACACAGTGCTGCTGAGCCTGGTGATAAAATGTTCTGTGGGCTGAAACATCAGCTGGGCAGTGGCTGACATCTCAAGTCAACTGAGTTCAGAGTAGAAATAAAACAGGTTTTGTGAGTTCACGGGGTTTTTTTTGGTTTCGTGGTGTTTTGTTTTGTTGGGCTTTTTTGGTTGTTTTTTCCCCCCAACAATGACTGTAATAAAGCATGAGATCAAACATGGTACAGAGAAACCAGGTGGAACTGAGGAGAGCAGTTCAGAGCCCATGCCCAGTCATTCCTTGACCGTTTGGTGGCTACCAATTAGTGTCAGCTCAGGTTTGGACACTTGCCTACTAGTAGCCAGGACTGAGAAAACAGAATTATTATTATTTATTATAGCACCACATTCTCCAGAGCAAGCTTTTCCAAGTCTCTCACTCTCAGCCTGGTGTAATCATGGACTAATGAAGTGCAGCTGTGCAGGTATCCTCTAATAGAGCTGGGTAGCGAGCAGCACCTGAGAAGTGAAAAGTTTCCTGTCTTAAAACTTATTCTCTGTCCTATTTACACGCCTTAGTGTCTTCCCTGATACACTGGCAGAAATAAAATCGTAAATAGTGGCAAAACCGATTACAGTTTAGAGGCTTTATCTTCCATTGTCTCCCTGCAGTCTGTGCTGGAAGAACAGTAAACTTCAACTGATCTTTAACTGCCTTTGAATTGCAGATTGACTAAATGATGCTTGAATTCCTGCTTTGTTTTCAAAAGGTTGAGGGCTCTCAAGTGTCAGTAGCACAATTCAATTGCTTGTTGTACGAAAATTAAATAAAATAAAATGTACTATTAGCCTTCTGAGATCCTTTGCCATTAAGCATTTCATCACTCACCCCTGAAAATGTCAGGATTGCGTTCCCTTCCCTCGCCATTTATTTTCCTGTTTGTCAACTCAAAGTTTCTTCAGATCTGAGAGAGAAGTTTTCCATGTACCTCCTGGTGAGTAAGTGCCAATTCAGTCACAAAGATGTAATTTGACTTTTGTCAGAAGTTGCAGAGCTGCATGATTATAGGTTGTTTAAAACCCAGTACTGATGATATGC